GAGAGGTTGGACCGTTTTGCAGTCCCACCAGCAATGCAGGAGTGTCCCAGTCTTTCCACATCCCTGCCAGCATTTATTGTCTTCTATTTTTTTGATCTTTGCTTTTATTGCTGGTGTGAGATGATATCTCATTGTTGTTTTGATTTGCATCTCTCTAATGGCTAGTGATCGTGAACATTACTTCATATGTTTGTTGGCTGCCCGGATCTCTTCCCTGGTGAAGTGTCTGTTCATGTCCTGTGCCCATTTTTTAATTGAGTTATTTGTCTTTTTCTTGTAGAGTTGTTGTAGTTTCCTATATATTTTAGAAATAACTCCCTTTGAAACAGACTTTTTAAAGAAATTTTTTAAAACTCAGAGAGAGAGAAATCTCTGGATACCAAGAGAATGGAATAACTGTTCAGTTTTTCACATACCTCTCATTTCCTAGGAAACACAATACTTAAATAGTATCTAGGTATTATCTAACCTCTCCTTTAAGGTGGAATCTCCCTTCCCATAGCACACAGCCATATCCTTTGGGAAGCAAGGGGGGAAGGATCCTCTTTTATTTTTTAATCACAATCTACTTAAGTTGGCAAAACTTGTTCCATTGAAAGGTTTCTGATAGTACACTTGTTTTCTTACCTTTTTAAAACATCTTTTTCTAGAGTAGAAATTGTGATTGAACTCATAGTGAAATTCCTGCATAACTTCATACAGTTTCTTCCTAACTTATGGAGACAAGTATATTGAAAAGAGCAGATGTCAGCAATCTTTTATTTAACAAGGGGCCAGAGAGTAAGTATTTTCAGCTTTATATGTTACACAGTTTCTGTTGTAATATTATCAACTCTGTTTTGTTACTATGAAAATGGCATGTTATGGCTGTTGGGTACCATCGAGTTGGCTCTGACTCTTAGCAACCCTATTGTGCCCAACAGAACAAAACACTGCCCAGTCCTGCACCATCCTCACAATTGTTATGCTTGAGCATAATGCTGCTACCATTGTGCCAGTCATCTCATTGGGGATCTTCTTACTTTTTGCTGACCCACCATTTTACCAAACACAATGCCCTTCTTCAGGGACTGGTCCCTCCTGATAACATGTCCAATTGTGAGATAACATGTCCTAACCTCAAAGGAGCATTCTAGCCATACTTCTTCCAACACACATTTGTTTGTTCTTGTAATAGTAGTGCTATTTTTAATACTCTTCTCCAATTCCGTAATTCAAATGTATCAGTTCTTCTATGGGCTTCCTTTTCCTTATTCATTTATGTCCAGCTTTCACATACTTGTGTTTCAATAAAACCTATAAGAAAAGGTGGTGGACTGGATTTGATTTGAAGGCTGTAGTTTGCTAATCCCTGAAAAAACAAACAAACTGCAGTTTAAACATGGAGCTGGGAGAGGGACGGCAGTTAATACATGGTAGTTACTATTCATTTTCCTCATTGCAGGCTTTCAGAGAAGGATCCAGCAAGCTCAGTGCACCTCAATTAAGAATAGTGGGGACGATATCCAGTCACCACTGTTCCTCATTGAAGTGATTGAAGTCACTATATAATACCAGAACTACCTAATAAAGGAATGCAAAAAAATGGTATTTAGGTTCTTTCAACAGATTGAGAGAATGATCAAGAAAGCTGCAGATAAAATAAGGGAAAACACAAGACAATATTTTATGAGAATTCAGGTAGACAATTCAAATAACAAACTGATAAGTTAAAAATTAGAAGCCATACAAAAATAGCAAATAGAAACTCAAAAGCTCCATACTACAATATCAGAAGTAGATAATCTATCGGAGGGGCAGAGAAGTAGAATTGAATCAATGGAAGGAAGAATTGGTGAGCTTGAAGACAGATCTCTCAATAATCATCTGCTTGTTAGAGGAGCAATGAGAAATAAGAACAAAAAACACCTGAAGAAAGCCTTAAGAATTATGTGGGACTCCATCAAGAGGAATAATTTAGTATGATGGGAATTCAAGAAGATGAATGTGTTCCATACATGATAGATCCCCAAAGAAAATTGCCAAGACATAAACTTTCCACAACCAAAGACAATCTTGAGAGCAGCTTAGGATAAACAAAGTTACCAACAAAGGAGGACTAATAAGCTTAACCTCTGATTTCTCAGTAGAAACCGGGTAGGCAAGAAAATAGTGAAATGACATATATAAAACTCTGAAAGAAATAACAACCAAGAATCACATATCCAGCAAAATATATTCCTCAAATATGATGGTGAAATACGGACTTTTCCATATAAACAGAAATAAAAGGAATTTGTAAAAACCAGATCAACCTTACTAAAAATATTAAAGGGAGTTCTTTGGATAGAACCAACAACCTGAAATTAATATACATGATAATGTCATCCCAAACTCAACCCAGATGTAGAAGTATCTGAAG